ACTGACCCTCCGACAGCGCGGCGCTCCCTCGGCACTGACCCTCCGACAGCGCGGCGCTCCCTCGGCACTGACCCTCCGACAGCGTGGCGCTCCCTCGGCACTGACTGGGTTGTTGGTTGGACACTTTGAAGGAGAGCTGACTCTCATGCACTCACCAATAGCGGAGCCTAATTCAGCTGCAAACACTCGCACTGTGTCCTCATCCAATGAGTCACAGCCTCTCCAGAGCATGTAGAGGTCTCCCGTGCTGTGGTAATCATACACTACAGGACCAATCAGAGGAAGAACAGTCACTGCCAGTGGAGGTACAGTGGATACGCCAGCAGAAGGTCTACCCTGTCACGGCGTCACAATCAGGTATTTCAGGAATAGCTGTGGACTGGAATCTGACTCACACAAACCACAGCAGAATGGAATCAAACCCTCATATAGATTTGATGGGCTTCCCTGGCTTCTCAGCCCACTCCCACTCTCACTTTATTTTGCCAAAAGATGAGAGGATAATTCTAGCTCAGCACAAGCAGCAAGTTCACCACCTTAGTATCGTCTTCCACATCTCAAAGAGGTGATTCACAGAATATCATAGTGTGACAATACTCTGACTTTAAGAGGTATATTTTGGTCCTTTTTTTATTATGAAGAAAGGTTGAGACAGAGAAGGTGAGTGGTCTGCTCAAAGCCAATAAAGCAAACAGCTTGTGAGGCCTTGGGTTTTTTTTTAAAGTTGGAAAACTAGAAGCAGCCTGAATGCCTAGAGTCAAGCTCCCACGGAAATGCATTTTTAGTTTTAGCTTTCAGTATTTGCTGGGGTCTTGAAGCTCTTATTCCTCTCTCTGTTACAGCTAAAAGCTGGGGTTCTCTTCCTGCTGCTAGAATTGCATGTGAGACAATCTGTTTTACTGCATTTGGCCTTTGCCAAAGGTGTGTTTATGAGATGTTACTGTATCGTAACAGTTAATTAGTAGTAGCTAATGTATGTATTATTTTGTTAAGCATTTCAATAGTTATGGGTAAACCAATTCTTTTATTTTTATTTTGTCTGTATTTTAACAGTAGTGTAAAAATAAAGCGTGTTTTGCTTAAAGTCGAGTAGTTTGACCAATCAAATTGCTTCTGGAATGCAACACCTTACACTTACCTTTCAAATAAGAAAAAGTTAGAGTCTAGGCTATCTTCTGAATATATTTGAGGGGGTTTAGTCTGCTCCATAACAATAGCAAAGGAAGCCATTCAGTTCAATTAATCTGTGCTGGCTTTTTTTGAAGAGCAGCTTAGTCTGTGCCACTTCCCTGTCTTTCCCTGTCTACATGTAACTATTTCACTTTTAAATATTCATTCAATTCTCTCTGTTGCTGCCAGTGAAAGTGCTTTCAATTGCTCATTGGGCAGTATTTTCGAAATTGTATAAAGAAGTTTATCCTCATCTCACTTCAGGTATTTTTAGCTGATCTGTGCCCCATCTAGTTGTCATCACCCTTGCTGCAGTGTTCCAGTGAAGCCCAACACAAGCTGGAGGAACAACAGACCAAGCAGCATCAGAGGAGCAGGAAGGCTGATGTTTCAGGTCTTTTTCTGAAGAAGGGTCTAGGCCCGAAACGTCAGCCTTCCTGCTCCTCTGATGCTGCTTGGCCTGCTGTGTTCATCCAGCTCTACACCTTGTTATCTCAGATTCTCCAGCATCTGCAGTTCCTACTATCTCTGGAGGAACAACACCTCATTTTCCACTTGTGGACCCTGCAGCCCTCCGGACTCAATATTGAGTTCAATAATTTTAGGGCCTAAACTCTCCCCTGTCCCAGCCCCCCACCCCACACACCAGACCTTGTTACCACATAGCCTGCCATTACACACCCCCTGTTGTTAGTCATTAACAGTCCCCATTAACAACTATTCACCCTCCCAGCCTGATCGTTAGCAACTCCTTTGTCTGTCCAACTGTCTCTCTCTTTCTTTGGGCTCTATCTTATCATTTACTCCCAACACCACCCACCTCCCTATTTTCTGCATATAAACTGATGTTTTCCCAGCCTTCTGAGGAAGGGTCACCGGACCCTAAATGTCAAGTCTGATTTTTCCTTCACAGATGCTGCCAGACCTGCTGAGCTTTTCCAGCAACTTCTGTTTTTGTTCCTGATTTACAGCATCTGCAGTTCTTTTGGTTCTTAGTTATCATCACCCATTGGGCAGACACGTTCATTATTTACTTGATCGAAATGCTTGGAGATAATAGACACCTCTATCACATTTCTCTCTCCGTCAGCCTTCTCTACTTGGAGGAGAACAATCCTGGCCTCCCTAGTTTCACTATGTGACTGAAGCCTCTCATCCCTGGAACGATTTATCTCTGCCCCTCACATGAGCCTCTTCTTGGAATCGGATTCTTTCTGCTCCGTTCTCCTTCCTCGAGCCAGGCTGTAGGAACTAGACAGCTCCCTGGACCTCACCCAGCCATGTGCTGCTCTCTCTTTATCCCACATTGTTTCTACTTTATTTAATTTTAGCTTCTTGCAGATGCTGTTATTCCCTCTTACAGATGTCAGGCTCCTACTTTGCAAGAGGTTGGATTGCAGTAGCCAGTGCTAAATGAGGGCTGAGCATATCCATGTATACGTACACCCACATACATGTATGCAAACACATGTATGCGTGCGCGCACGCGCACACACACACACACACACACACACACACACCGCTGACTGCAAGTGCGTTCACACACAAAGGTGCAGACGCACACACACAGGTCTCGTCTCCTCACCATTGTGGATAAGCTCGAGTTCTGAATTCCTTGTTGTAACAGAAAAGGAGGACATTCTGCCCCTTCATGCCTGTTCACCCATTCCATGACGGCATGACTGACTGGACTGTATGCACCTGGCTTTGTCCTAGATCACTAAATAACTTTTGCTAACAATCGCAGATTTAGAATGAACAATTGATGCAGCATCAATTGCTGCTTGAGGATGGCAGTTCCACATTTCTACCGCATGCTGTGTGTAGAAATGATTCTTTATTTCAGTCTCGAGACCCAGCTCTAATTTTCAGACACTACCCCTGCATCCGAGACTCCCCAGTCAGAAACACTTTCTGCCTGTCTACCATAACAGTTCCTCAAAACCTTCATGACATCAAACAAATAAGCCTTTAACCTTCAAAATGCCAAGGAATACTGCTACAGTTTGTGTAATCTCACCCCATTATCTAAACATTTTAGACCCACTATTTGTTTATTTTGTTTCTTATTTGTTCACGGGATGTAGGCTTCTCTGTTTAGGTCAGATTTATTACCCATCCCTAATTGCCCAGAGGGCAGTTAATAGTCGCCTACATTGCTGAGAGTCTGGAGTCACATGTAGGCCAGACTGGGTAAGGATGGCAGATTTCCCTGCTAAAGGACATTACTGAACCAGATGGGTTTTTATAACAATCAACAATTGGCTACACAGTCACCATAGACCAGCTTTTTGTCCTAGTATTTTTATTGAATTAAACTTTGTTATTTGTCATGGTGAGACGAGAACTCTTGTCCCCAGGAGCCTGGGGCTCTGGATTACTAATTACTCCCACTGCCCCCCGACAATGTCACTCTGGTTAATTTATATTACACTTCTTCCCAGATCACTCGATCCTTCCACATGATAATGCCCACATCTGTTGAGTGACTCAGTGTGTTAGATCTGGGCTTTGGAGAACCAAAATATGATTTACTACTCCAATGTTTCTCTAGATATAGAGTCATACGTGGGCTGGATCACAGAAAGAGAGGCCCATCGTGTCTGTGTTAGCTTTCTGACAGAGCAAACCAGCTTGTACCTCTCCCTGCCCTGTGGCCCTGCATGGTTTTCCACTTGGATAATCAGCTCATTCTCTTTTGAAAATGTCAACTGGACCTGCCTCTCCTCGCACACTCAGACAGTACATTCCAGGCCCTAACCACTCGTGAACCTGCCTCCCCCACACTCTCAGACAGTACATTCCAGACCCTAACCCCTCGAGTGAACCTGCCTCCCCCACAATCTCAGACAGTACATTCCAGACCCTAACCACTCGTGTGAACCTGCCTCCCCCGCACTCTCAGACAGTACATTCCAGACCCTAACCCCTCGAGTGAACCTGCCTCCCCCACACTCTCAGACAGTACATTCCAGACCCTAACCACTCGCGTGAACCTGCCTCCCCCCACACTCTCAGACAGTATGTTCCAGACCCTAACCCCTCGAGTGAACCTGCCTCCCCCAGTAGTTAGGGTCTGGAATGTACTGTCTGAGGGAATGGGGGAGGCAGGTTCACTCCAGTTTAAGCATGGTTTGTATTGCTGTGACCCAGTGCCTCTCAGTCCTATTCCTTCAGAAGTGGAGCCTGTTGAAGAGGGTTCACTTTATCCACAATGATGCTCGAGAGAGGGGGAGGAGGTGCTTTTTTGGAAAAGATTGTGTAAACTGGCAGGAGGGACAGAAGGAGTCGGGACTCTACAGGCCAGTAGCTACAAACAGCACAATTAAATGTAAACACACTGGCCCCGGGGATTGGGGGGGGGGGGGGGGGG